GATTGTGGTTGAGAGGGATATGCACTATGAAGAAAAAGTAACAAGATGTAAAGTATGAAAAGGGTACTTCAGGTGGGTGGTCAGGGAGGGCCTCAGTGAGGAAGGGACTTTACCTAAGATCTGAAGGATGAGAGGGGGAAACAATGGATGAAGATCAGGGAATCAGTGTTCCTCTGGAGACAGGGGCTAATTCAAAGGCCTTGGGGCTGAATTGAGTGGAGTAGGATCAGAACCAGGATGAAGGTGGGCATGGCTGGTTTGGAGTGAGTGACAGATAGGAGATGAGATTGGAGAGGCCCAGGCCACTGGTGAAGGTTCCTGCCATGCAGGTAAAATCCTGTTCATCCCTCCCTCAGTGTTCCTAGTGGTGCTGGACTTTTACTTCAGCCAGTTACTAGTTTTATCACACCAGCATCTGGAGTCAGCCCTTTATGCACATTATCTCATTTAATGCCCATAATGGGCCTTAGATAGGTCGGTCTGAGAGTAATGTATCTTGTTCAATTTCAGTCAGTGACCAGATCAGATTTCCCAGAAAAACAGCCAGAGCTAATAGGCTGCCCACATGTCTCAAATGGTATCATCTTGGTGAGTGGGATAAAGCCTCAGGAGTTCCCCTCAGCATCCCACATTGTAGAGGGTGATCAAAGAGGCCTGGGATTAAAGCTGGGTTCATGGGTTAGAGTTTCCATTGAAGGCTGACCGAGCTGGTGTGCCGCTTTGATCAACAAGTCACTCAGTAAGACACAGGAAAAAGCTCAAATCCAATTTTGTACAGACTCCTTTAGGGAGCTGGAAGAAGGAGTGGGGAGGAGAGACACTGAAGATTTTCCAGTACATGACCTCAGCTGCTATACTTCACTCACCATGTCATTATTGAGCACCTATTGTGTTCCAGGCCTGGGAACAGCTTAGTTTTGTGAGGTCTGAGCACAAGTATAGCTGAAATTCATGCGCCCTGGCTCGGCTCCTGCTGCTTTGGCTCAGGGAAAAGGGGGTATCCTTTTTCAGATACCTCTGCTTAGAAGGAGTACCAGTTTCCCGACTCCCCAAAAAAGTGAAGTATGTGCCAGCAGAGGCAGGGCATACTGTAAAGGACAAATTTATATCTATCTATCTATCTATCTATCTATCTATCTATCTATCTATCTAGTTCCAAAGTTCCTCTTTGGTTGGAGCTCATATTCTAGAGGAGGAAACCAAAGATGGTATCTGTTCTAAAGAAAAATAAAGCAAATGGACATGGAGTGCTGTTTGATATTTTAGATCAGCTGGACAGGGAGGCTCTCTCCAAGGCAGAACATTTGGTCTGGTTCCTGAGAGAACCAACCAAAGGTTTAGAGGAAGAGATTTCTAGACAATGGCACAGCAAATTTGCAAAGGCCCAGAGACCATCATCAACTTGGTGCATTTGAGGAATACAGCCAGAAGACCAGTGTGACTGGAAGGGCAGAGAGAGAACAAAGTATAGAAATCGGGTCAGATCAGGTAGGGCCTCATGAACTGTGGTAAGGATTCTCAGAGATTATTCTAACAAATGGGAGGTCCCAGGCAAGCTCCCAGGAGCAAAGTGGGCTTCATGTTTGTAAAAAGATCACTCTTGCTACTCTGTTTCTAGCATTGTGCTTCTGCTGTGAAGGCACATAAAAGAATTTTGCAACATTATCTTCACCTCTAAGAATTTTTTTCAGAGACATGGAAATTCAATTACATAAATACTGTGTTATCAACTGCCATATATAAAAACATAGGGCTGTTCATAGCAGTATTGTTAAGGATAGCCAAAAGGTGGAAATAATGCAAACTTTCATTTGTGGATGAATAGACAAAGTGTGGTATATACATACAATGGAATATTACTGTATCTTCAAAAGTGATGAAATTCTGATACATGCCACAACATGGATGGACATTGAAAACATTATGCTACGTAAAATAAGCCAAATATGAAAGGACAATCATTGCATGATTCCACTTGTATAAAATATATAGTTAAACTCATAAAGACAGAAAGGAGAATGGTCGTTGTTACCAGGGGGTGAGAGGAAGGGAAATCGGGTGTTAGTGTTTAATGGGTACAGAGTTTCAGTCTGAGATGATGAAAAAGTTCTGGAGATGGATGGTGATAATTGTACAACAATGTGAATGTACTTAATGCCACTGAATGGTTGAATGGTAAGTTTTATACATAATATAAAACTTATATCATACATAATATAAAACTTACCACTAAAATAATTTTAAGAACATTTTTAAAATTTTTATTTATTTTGACAGAGACACAGAGAGAGCGCGCAGGGGAGGGGCAGAGAGAGGGAGAGACAGAATCCCGAGCAGGTTCCGAGCTATCAGCACAGAGCCCATAGTGGGGCTCAAACCCACAAACCACGAGATCATGAATGACCTGAGCTGAGATCAAGAGTTAGACTCTTAACCGAGCCACCCACGTGCTCCCCAAAAAACATTTTTTAAGGTATAGAGCTAAGATCTAGGGATAGAAGAGTGGATCTTCTGGGCAGAGATTTAATAGCAAGTGGCGGGGTGCCTGGGTGGCTTAGTTGGTTAAGTGTCCGACTTTCGCTTAGGTGATGATCTCATGGTTCGTGGGTTTGAGCCCCGCGTCGGGCTCTGTGCTGACTGCCAGCTCAGAGCCTGGAGTCTGTTTCAGAGTCTGTTACTCCCTCTCTCTCTGACCCTCCCCTGCTCACGCTGTCTCTCTCTCTCTCCTAGAAATAAATAAAACATTAAAAAAAAAAATAGCAAGTGGCAAAGTTCAGGAGGCAAGAAAGGACCTCGTGTGCTCTAATGAACAGCAAGAAGGCAAATGGGCTGGGCACAATGAAGAAAGAAAAGATGAGGGCTATTTATTGATAGCTTTGAGGATCTTGTAGTTTCTTATAGGAGTCCGGTAGGAGATGGGAAACCACTGGAGGATCTGAGCGGAGGGGTGATGTTATCCACCCTTTGTTATCCCAGCCCCATTCTGGTAGCCGCTTTCTTTGAGTCTCATTTGCAAAGGAGGGTAAGAAAAGCACTTATTTCACAGGGTAGCTAACTGTGAGCATTAAAAGAGGTAATGTGTGTCAAAGGTTTAACATGGTGCCTGGCACAGAGTAAGCCCTTAATAAAAGGTAAGCATTACTGTGACAGAAATTCAAAGAAAGACTGCAGGCCTCTGAGGAGATGTGGAGGAATTCATGGAGGAGGCAGTAGTTGAGCTAGACATGGAGGAACAAGAATTCTACCAACATAGGGGAACCTGGGAGGCTCAGGCAGTTAGGCCTCCAATTTTGGCTCAGGTCATGATCTCACCATTTGGGAGTTCAAGCCTCGTCACAGGCTTTGTGCTGACAGCTCAGAGCCTGAAACCTGCCTGGGATTCTGTGTCTCCCTCTCTCTTTGTCCCTCCCCCTCCTCAAAAATAAATAAACATTAAAAAATTTTTTGAAAAAGAATTCCACCAATATAGATGGGGAAGAGGAGAGGGCTTTCAGGGTGGAAGGAACTTCAGGGTCAACAGCACATAAAGGAAAACAGCCAGCAACAGGCAGGGCAGAGGAGATCATGTTTGATCAGTCCCCGCAGGTCATCGCAAGAAGTGTGAACTCCAGAGGCTAAGTGATGGGAGGTTTGAAAGTTTTGGAGCAGATGTCCAGATCCAAGTATGATTTCAGGCAACTGAATCCCCATCGCTGGCCTCGAGCTGGAAGCAACGGGAGATCGGTGGTCCAAGGCTGGAGACCGCAAGGCACGTGGGTCAGCGGTTGGGTTGAGACGCGGAGAATCAAAAGGCAACAGGCGAGGGCGGGAAAGACGAATGCACCGAGAGGCGCTTCATCCCTCGCGGTTAGAGACGAAGCAATTAAGTGGAGAGCACAGAGGAGCCACGGGCATCACCGTCGGAGTCGGCTCCGCAGCCCTTCCCAGCGCCCGGGCGGCCCCGACTTCCTCAGAGCCCCCATCAAGGCTATGGACACACTCCCTTGTCTAATGCGATTATGCGTTCACCGTTTCAGCTCCCAGCTCCCAGAGCTCGAGTCTGTTTTCATTTCATAACGGTGCCTGGCGCAGCGTCTGGAACACAGTAGGCACTCACGAATGGTTAGCTGAGTAGCTGAACGGGAGATAGCAATCGACAAGTTTTCGAGCCAGGGTTCCGTGAGCTAAGCAACCAGAAGGATTCGTGGGACCGGAGGGCATTCCAACTCCAAGGAGGTTGGCCTTGAGTGAGAAAACCTCCTGTAGGCAGGCCCTCTCCCACGGCTCCGCAGGGACAACAGACGGCGGGCGGGCGGGAGCAGCACTCCACAGTTTACAGAGGGCGTTCACAACTAACGCCGGGAGCTCCGAGAGGAAGAAAGCCAGGGCCTGGCCGCAGAACCGCGCGCGTCGAGCACAGCTGCGGCTCCATTTCGCGCCTGGGACTACTGAGTCCCCGGAACAAAGTTGGTCCTCAGAACGGAGCCAAGGGGGGTGGGCAGCCACAGCCCCGAGCATCCCGCAGGGCTCCAGCACTGTTTGCACCCCCCCCCCCCCCCCGCCCCGCCCAGGGAGCTCTCACATTCTCGGGGGAGTACGGGGCAGAGCTTGCGGGCACAGCCTGGGGGGCTCCCGCGCGTCCCAGCGCGCGAACACGCACCTTCGCCCAGCCCGCACCAGTCAGCGCCCAACTCGCCAACTCCCCGACTTTCGCAAAGCTGCCGCGGGCGGGGCCGCCGCCGAGGAGCGGGCCGCACCATTCGGGCCCGAGAGGGGGAAGCGCTCGGCCCCGGGGCCCTCGGCGCTCCCGGGAGGATCGGAAAAAGCGGCGAGAAGATCGAGACCCTCGGCGCACAGCGCTCCGCGGCCGAGCGGGAGAAGCGCGGCGCTGAGCGCGCGGCTGGGCGGGCTCTGGAGCGGTGGCGGCGGCGACACCCCCCCCCCGCCGGCTGCGCGGTGGTAGAGGCCGGCTCCCCGGCCAGTGAGCGGCGGAAGTGCCGCGGAGTTGGAGCGGGGCCGGCGCCGCGGCAGCTTCTCCTCGCCGAGCTGCTGCCGCCGCCGGGCGGACGGGCGGACGCGCGGAGCCGGGGGCCGCGCGGCCGGGCCGGCGGGGCGCGGCGGGGCTGACCGGCCCCGATGAGGCGGAAGGAGAAGCGGCTTCTGCAGGCGGTGGCGCTGGTGCTGGCGGCCCTGGTCCTTCTGCCCAACGTGGGGCTCTGGGCGCTGTACCGTGAGCGACAGCCCGACGGCACCCCGGGAGGATCGGGGGCGGCGGTGGTCCCGGCGGCTGGACTGGTGAGTCCCCCAGTTACGGGGGCGGTCGGAACACTCTCTCCCCGTATTCACTTTTAGCCTTCGCTTCCTTCACCCTTCCCTTTTTGCCTCCTCAGTGTCAGCGCCGGAGACTTCTTCTGTTCTTCCCATTTTGGTGATTGGGAAAACTGAGGCCCAGAGAAAGACAGGAACTTGTCCAGGGCCCCACGGCAGTCAGAGACAGAACCAGAACTAGAAATTGTGACTCCTGTTGCTGAGTCCGAAGGTCTGTTTCTTACTGTAGGTTTCCATTCTCCTTTCTTTCCACGTCTGGTATCCCCTCACCTCTTGCTTTTGGAAGACCCTATCTGCATCCCTCTATCTCAGGATGACTTCTTCAGGAGCTGCCAGTCCTTCTGTTTAGTGTCCAGGTCTTTTCTGCTCTTCCCCCCACCTGCTGATCTCTGCGTTCCCTACTCAGGTGAGCCCCCATTCCTGTTTTCCTATCTGCTCAGTGGGACACCAGGTCTCCCTCTTCTCTCCATTTGTGTACCCTCCCCCCTTTTCACCCTTCCTCTTTCCCAGATCTGTGGATTTCTTGGAGGATGCAAAGATCATGCTCCCCATGGAGACCACCGGATGGGGGGGGCGGCCGGTGTGGTGGGGGGAGCTCCTGGTTCTTGAGGTCCTGCTGTCTTTGTCCTTCTGGGAGTCCAGAAGTGGGGATTCTGGTGGATGGATCCCCCCAGATTCCCAGAGGCTGTTTGTGCCCTGTGCCCTGAGGAGGGAATATCAGGTGCGCTCCCTGCCCCTTCTCAGAGTACCCATGATCCCTTTTGAACTTGTCCAATCTGACCAGGTGTGTAGTTCCTTGCAGCCAAGACTAGCACCTTAATTGCTCCTACTTCCTCTGAACTCACCCACGTGCGTGTCTGTTGTGTCACACGCACATATACACTGATAGCAGAAGCTCTGTCAGAGCTCCCCTACCTTCCCAGCTCCTGGGTAAATAGGTGCCAGTGAGTGCATGCATGCTTGAACAGTTTCCCGCAGTGGGACATCTCAGGTTTTCTTACAGGATTTCCTTGGCCCCATGGGAAGTGGCTAATTTCTCCATCAGGGTTCAACTTGACTGATCGTTGGCAGGATGAGGAACAGGCTGACTTTTGAGGTTGATGTTTTTCTTTCTCTTCCTAGTATTAGGCTGCTTGAGCACAGAGAGCTGCTTGCCACGGGGATGACCGATTTGAGTACAGCCTGTCACTCTGGTAATTGTCGCCAACCATCCCGGAGGGCCTCCTTCATCTCTTTGGTAGCTCTTCCTGTTTGGAAATTAAGCTCCTCAACTCCTCTGCCCCCCTGGTTCAAACCCTGACAGCCATATTAGATCTCTTTCCCTTAAATTCTGTGTGCATATTGGTTTTGCATTCATGAAGTCTTTCCTCTCTTCCCACCCTGTACCAGCATCACGGGCAGGAGGTCAGGGTTCTGTCCTCAGCTCCACCATTGACTTGCTGTGTGTGCCCTTGATCACCTCTCAGCTCCCTCTCTGAGCCTCCTTTTCTCCATCTGTAAAATGTAGTTATTGGTCCAGCTCCAGCATTGTGATACCTTCGGTGAATCAATGAGGAGTACAATGGCCACTTCCTTTTTCTTTCCTGAGGGCAGGGGTCCCTTTTAGCATCCCTCTCTGTGGGGGGTCCACACTGGACACAGCCTCAGGTCAAGGGGGGAGTGCTCTGCCTGAGCACTAACTCTCCTTTGGAATAGCTGTAGCCAGTTCTAAAATAGCTCCTGACATTCTGCCTCTGCCTGAAGAAAGCCCTCGTATTTCATTTGCTGTGGATGCCAGAGACGTCCTGATTTTCATTTTCTATAGACCCAGATGTGTAGAGAGAAGGTCAAGGTTAACTGCCAGTTTGGCCTGAGCTTTCAAAGTAAATTACTCACTTGTGCAAGAGGGAATTGATGAAGTAAGGCAGCCTTTTGGGCAGAGAGAGGGGAGCAACAGCTGGGCACTGCTCAGAGCCCGTAACTGAAATGGACAGATAGGCTCATCTGGAAGGTCCAGTTCTTGTTTATTTCTTTTGCTCTGGAATATCGTGAAGAGGAGGGAGATGAGGTGAAGGGGTGTGGTGGTGGTTGAGGGAGGTGAGTACCAGTGGCTTATCCTTGCTTTAAAGGAACTCCCTTTGCTTCCTGGGAGTAGCAGAAAGGAGCCGTTTCCCCAATGATAAGCTCTGCTAGGTGCTGTGGGATTCAGCATTCATCTGCTGCCTTTCAGGAACACTCTGCCAAATTTCCACACAGCCACTTTTTGTTTCACTCTCCTGCAGATGCACAGCACTGGGCTTGCCCCCCAGTCCCTTGTCTGAATGTCAGCTAGCCTTGAGAGAGGAGGCTGACTTCTCAGAGCGATGGGGTTCCATCCCTCATCCCAGTGCACTGGAACATGCACGTAACCCATTAGTCCGCTATCTGGGAAATCTGACATCTTGAGCACACGGGGCTTCTCTCGACAGGGCTGACCAGTTCTCACTCTTGTAATTGTTGAGAATTATCCTAGAGCGCCTCGTTGATCTTCGTGGTAGAAATAACTGCAGGAACCCAGGAGGGAAGGCTGACAGGACTTTATCCAAATGCACAATATATTCCTTGTGGGTTTGAGGGCTAACATACCCACTGGTTGTTTTTTTTTTTTAATTAAAATTTTTTTTTAAAATTTATTTTTGAGAGAGAGATAGAGACAGCATGAGCAGGGGAGGGTCAGAGAGAGAGGGAGACACAGAATCCAAAGACAGGCTCCATGCTCTGAGCTGGCTGTCAGCACAGAGCCCAATGCGGGGCTGAAACCCACGAACTGTGAGATCATGACCTGAGCTGAAGTCGGACGCTTAACCGACTGAGCCACCCAGGCACCCCAACATACCCACTGTTTGATCAGCCCTTTAACTCTTGGACTTCTTCACTGGATTGATGGATAAAGAGCTTCAAGTTAAGAGCATTTATCATTTGCTGGAAAGTAAGTCTATATGACTGTCGTGCTAGCTACCTCTGGAGCTGGGTAGGACAGCTGATTTATAAAGGACACATGATGTTTTTAGGACTTTAGCATTCATCTGGTCAGACAGCTGGCTCCTTAGAAAGTTGCAAAACCAAGCAAGAAAAGCCAGTCTTGAAACTATCTTCATTTTAATTTAGGGTCCCTCTCATTCCTGTCCCCAGTCTGTTTAACATCTTGGTTTAATCCCACCGTCTGTTTCATATTCCAGACTTGGGAACTGGCTATTCAACACCCATGTTAGGGAGTGTGATGCAGTCCCTCCCCATTTCAGAGCCATAATCTCTTGTGAGAAATGACTTCATTGGATAATAGCAACTGTGGAATCGAGGTTGGTAGGATAATAGAATACCAGTGGCTTTAATTTTCAAGTATCAAGAGTTTTTATCATTGTGTCAGAGCTGAACTTTATTCTCAGAACATCTAGAAATCAATACCTTTCCCCCCCACATTTTTTTAGTCTTCCTGGTAGCAGAGCCTTACCCATCAGAAAGTTAAGTACCATAGAAATGTAGCTTTGGAATGATTTCTTTAATTCTCCGCAGAGGGGCTGGAACCCTTTATATTGTTAATCTCTTCTCTGTCTGCATGCCCAGCTGAAATCTGATGCCACTGGGGCTGCGTTGTTGATTTACCTGAGCAAATCTGGCCCCTTGCATTCTTCCTATCATCCTAGGTATACAGTGTCCTTAGGAACCGAGCTGAGGAAGGCCTGGGAACAGAGGCCTGGGTTCTCATTTCTCTCTCCTACCTCTAAACTCACTGTGTGACCTCAGGAGAGTGGTTTAACTTCTTTGGGCCTTGGCTCTCAACTGTGAACTGAAGGCTTATATTCAGAAGAGGAAAGGTAAATGTGTATTATAATGGTGCTCCCCTCCCCTGTCCAATGGTGCTCTCCTCCCCTGGACATTGCTAAGCAGTCTCTCTCCCACTGAGCCCACACCTGCCTTCAGACTGTTTCTGGACACTGCTACTCAAGTGGAGTTAATGGCATGTTGAACTCAATTTGTGACACAGGGAATAGATCCTTCGTTAGGAGGTTTCTAACTTTAATTTCCTGGGGTTCTGTGAGTTTGTTTGGAAGCATGTATTGAAAAGGCCTGGGTCATAGAAGTATGTTAAAACAGGCCTCTGTACCGGAGTTGTGACAAAGCCACGTCTACCTGGGGGTCTGTTCGTACTCTGGTGCCTTCGTTCAGGCTATGGTCTGAGGGTGTGAATTCAGTCTTTATTCTGTTGGTGCCAGTGATGTGATAACAAATAATGGAATCAGGAATGGAAATGCAAAGGCCCGTTTCAAAGATAACCATCTAGCTTGCTAATTGTACATTGACCACAGTCAGCTCTCACAGAGAGATGGCATTGGGATCTCATCACTGAAACACCCTGAGGCAAGCTGGCAGTCTGTGGTATGTCCTGCGACAGCTAACCGCTCTGGGTGTTTGCAGTGGGTTTTGTATTTTCATGTAACTGACCCCCTGTATCCCAAGTATCTGAGCTCCCAGGAAGACTGAATTAAGAGGCTTGCTTCTCAGAGAACCGGGGTCCTCAGTTCCTGTAGCCAATGAGTACATCATGGCCTCCCCTTCCAGAAATATCTTGAAGGAGGAACTACATCCTCTTCTAGCACACAGCCTAAGGCTTGGCCCTTGGAAGGTGGTTAGGACATGTTTGCTGAGTGATCGATATGTGTCAGAACAGGAAGGGGGCTTCAGAAGTCTGCTGGTCTGCCTACCTTGTTTTTTAGGTATGGAAACTGAGGCCCAGGAGAGGGGAGATCCATTCTCAGAGCGGCGAGTACAGACCAGAACCCAGTTCTTCTCCAAATTCTTGCTCTCTTTCACCATGAAGAGTTTTTCCCTCCACATCCTAATAATCAATTCTTCTCTACTATTATTTCCCACACGAGCCGAGATTATCACTTCCAGTTTTGGAGGCCAGTACTTATTGACTGATTATTGGCTGGAACTTACCTGGCTTT